TAAAACATGGAACTTAGAAACTTGGCAAAGTAAAGAAACCGAAGAATAAAAGGATCCAGGGACAGAATGGTTGGTAGCTCGATCCTTGCTTTCGGTTGCCTCAGTGTTTTTTTCATATATCCTCATTGCGCTATACCGTCGTTCTGTCCTTCAAACAGAATAAAGAACTTAGAAAACTTGGCAAAGTAAAGGAACCGAATAATAAAAGCACACTGCAGAATGGAAAGTAGTGATAGGCATCAAGATAAGCTCACGCTGCTTTTGAGTTTTTCCTTTGAAATATTCAGCTTTGGGCATTTGTCTTTTTTGTAAGTCTCCAGATTAGGCAGCGTAGCACCAACGATGGATAGCATAGGCAACTCAAGAAGACACAGTGTGTGCAGATTCGGCAATTCGACTTGTTTTTCACACACTTTCTCCAGCTTGTAACAAAACTTTATTTTCAAGACTTGTAGGCTGATGGGTGGCTCTGATGCAGTGAAAAGCATTTTAATGCTTGGGCAACAATCTAGGCTTAGTTTCTTCAGATTCTTGAAGCTGCTACTGCATATTCTTTCCATCAATCGAAGATTCGTTATGGACATACTCTCCAAGTTTCTCAGGCGTTCCTCATCTACGCCGGAGAAAAGATTTTCTATATCCCCGCACATCTCCAGCCAACAACCTTTCACTGATTTCAAATCACTGAAGATAGATGAGAGACTTCTGCTGCTAATGTCCACAAAAGCCACAAACTCAGCTCGAGCTAAGGTTTCCTTGTCTTGATCTATGCCATGTGATCCTTGGATCTCTAGAACTTTCTGATGACTTTTAGTATCGACAAATGGTATTGTGTTCATATAGATAAACTTGTATATACGACTTTTGTTTTCCGGAAAATCAAAGGCCGAAGCTTCATTCAACTGTTTCTCCCTCACTCTTCCTAACTCCTTTCTTGAGACTTCTTCGATTTCGTTGACTGTACCAGAAGAGCTAAGACTTTCAGAAATCCCATTTGTTATGGATTCCTTTACTTGGCTCCAATTATCACATTTTAAACTTCTCGAATCTGCAAGAACAACTAACTTTGAGCAACAGAGACTGTTCTTCGCTGGCAACTCTGGTACGGTTTTTATTCTGGTGCTAGAGAGATTAACTTCACGCAGGTAAGCCATCTCCTCAAAGGATCCCTCAATATTATGCAACTTAGTGCACCCGGAAACATCGAAGACTTCGAGGCTTGTGAGTCCCTTGATGTTTGGGAGGGCTTCTAGGTTGGAGTTGTCTCTTAGTAGGAACTGACTAAGGTTGGATAACCTGGAGATAGTGGAAGGCAACTTGGTAAACTTTGTGCCTGACATATTAATAATTTTGAGTTCCTCTTTCTGCTCGAAGCACACTTCTGCAATTTCCACTAAGCTGCTGGTACCGGAAAGATCGAGGATTTGGAGACCGGATAATGGTTGAAGATTGGGCAGTTTTAGTAAATTGGTACATTTTCGCAATGAGAGTCGCGTCAAGGAGTGAAGACTGGTAGTCAACGCAAGGTCTTGAAATATTGGAATTCGCTTTTGTTTGCTCTCTGAAAAATCGAGGAGCTGAAGCTGTTGAAGACGAGCAAATGTTCGGTTTCTGAAGCAAGTTTTTAGATTGCGTACACCACGGATGTCGAGAACCTCGAGCCTGTCCAAATGCTGTATGTCTGGCAAATCTTCCAATACAGGACAGTCCCTAAGGATGAGACTGTGGAGGTACTTCAATTGAGAAATGCTGGAAGGTGAAGATTTGATACGAAGCCCAGAGAGGTTAAGACTTTGAAGTTCGGGCACTGCTTCAAAGAATTTATCAGAGATAGTTTCCACAGAGCTAGCGCCGGAAACTTCAAGAACCTCTAGCCTTCGTAGACCCTGAAGCTCCTCTATACTTGGCAGTAAATCATAGTCTCTGATCACAAGAACGCGGAGTTGCTTGAGTTCTCTTAAAGACTGGACAAGATATTCCAATGTGGGATAAAAAAGACCAAGTACTTCAAGATCCTTCATCTGCGGCTGCTCAAAGAACTCCTTAGGTGTTTCAAGACGCAAACGGTTTCCACTTACCAGAACTGTAAGAAGATTTTCTCGTTTCTTTGCTTGTACTGTTCTTATCATATCATCTATCTGGGTTATTTTCCCTAGACCTTTGCTCTTGTCACCACCATAAACCCTTGCAAGTCGGAGCCGTGACCTGCTTAAGAGCCCATGATGACAAAGATCGATTAAATTGGTCATTGCCATTTCTGGTACAACCATATCATCCTCTTGTATCTTCAGAATACCGCGGTTTATAAGCTCCAACAAGATATCATGGCCTTCCTTATAAGCCTTCTTAACAGATCGAACAGGATCAAAGTACCCTTCAAGTATCCATTGTGTGATCAGGTCACGATAATAAACACAGCCACAATGTTTGAAAAAGTCTAAGGTGTGCCAAAAACAATCAATGATGGCACTCTTCAATGTATCGTCGGTTTCCAACAGCTCATAAGCAAGATGCAGAATGGGATTGCATCTCCATAATTTGATACTGCTATCAGAGAGGAATAAAACTTCTTTTAAAACCTTCTCTTGTTTTGGAGAAAGATTCTTGAAACTCTTCTTATGAGTAATGCAGTTTAAGGACTTGGAAAACACGGTAATTGCAGCGGGCAAATTTTTACTTTTCCGCACCACCTGAGGTATCAATGGCTCATCAATCTTCCAAGCTCTCTGAAGGGACTCAAGCAACCCTCTCGCTTCATCCTTAGTAAGGGACTCAAACAAATCCTGCAAATTTTGATGAGTAAGGGTGTCAAGTAAAGCTTGTGACTCATCGCGAATTGTAGTCTCATCTCGTGGCTTGATTTTATTATCACTCTCTGTATTCCGTGGCTTGTCCGTGGCATGGGACTCAGTTTCCCCATCACGCTTTGTAATAAGAATTTTAAGAGGCACGTAATCTTGAAGAAAACTCTCAAGACCCAAATCTTTCATCACAGTGTCTTCACCAGTCTTGTACCCTTCATCATCAAGTATCAGTAGAAGGTACGGCACCATTAGACCAGATGAAGTGTGTCTCTTCTTCTCTCCTTCACCGAACTTCTTAGCATTTTTCTCAGTAAACAAGAACTTCATTTTTTCCTTAGCTGATCTCTTCCTTCTTCTGCTAAGCTCTGCACTTATCTCCTCCTTCAAAGCCTTTAACAAGTCTTTCGCTTGCTTCCAGGCCTTCTCATCTCGATCATACACTCCAATATGGAAAGCTATGTTCTCGTAAAGCGACAATTCATCATCAAACCTCTTGTTGAGATGTAAACAGAGGGTGACGTAGCACATGCCTTCCCTAGTTTCATGCTCGCTTACCTTTTTCGCCAGCCGCGTCTTCCCGATTCCAGCTTCCCCAGCCAGCACAACTCTTTGAGGACCATTACGGCGCAGAGTTTTCGTTATCTTCTCACACAATTTCATATCCTTCATCTCTTGACGTTGTCTAGGCGAATCCATTTTAATTCTGGTATATGACATATTAAAATGCATTACAAAAATGTTTCCTTGAAGAAAATTGACAGTATCATGCTATTATTAGTTCCTGAAACACTCCCTAGTTTCAAAAATTTCAATTTATATATGGCTAATTTTTCTTCTTTTTTTATCGATGAGAAATGAGATTTATCAATAATAAACTTAAAGGTTGGAGTAGTCAATGTGATTATGCCAGCTATATAAATACAGCTACAAGCGTATAGACACTATAGAAAGGGAAGAGAGTAACCTCAGTGAATCTCCGACAAGTTTCTATGTCTTTGACTAATGGATTAGTTTTTCTGGTGAGCTTCTTCGTCGTTTGTTCTGGTCTAAACCCCGAGGGAGCAAATTAATGGTATCAGAATAGCTTTTTAGAAAAGAAATGTTATGTAGACTTTTTGTTTGTCTCTTAATTTCATAATTATTCAAAGCTCACGCAAAGTGATAATAAANCAGAGACCATGAAAGGTATCAGATTCTGATATCAAGCTTGAGAAAGGCATCAGACCCATTTTCCTCGTTACATTTGTTAACCATTGTTATTAAATATTTGGAATCACAGATATATTTTTTGTTCATTTTAATTGTAAATAATTTTACTTCCA